GTGATGCCTGAGAGACAGCTCAACTCAAACCTCCTGCACGTCAGGCATGGAGGAAGGTGAAGGGGGATGGCAGAGGGCTCCCACCCCAGGTACTGCTGGGTCTGTCCTGACAGCCAGCCCTTGGGTGCCCCGTCTCTCCTCTGACTTTTCTGGACAAAGAAGGTTGAATAGATTCATAAAAATCCATCCGGTCTCCCCCTGAAGGCTGTGGTGCACCCCATGCCCATGCCTGGTCCCCAACACCGTCACCGGCCGGCTCACTGTGGGCGTGCTGCAGCCAGAGCACTGGGAGGAGGGTGCTGGCTCTGGACACCCCTTTGCACTTGGTCTCACATTAAGTGATGTGCCAGTTCCTGGTCATACACTGCAGGGTCACCAGCACCCAGCCCCAGCGCGAGAGGTACGGCACATGCAGCCACAGTTACAGAAATACCTAGCTCCAGATTCATGGATGTAAGCTTATTCTTTACATATTATAAAACTGTATACTTCATTAAAGGGGAATTAAGTCCTTCACTGAAGGTCTCAGTGACAACAGTCAGGGTCTCCCCTGTGCTCAGAGCCACACTATGAGCTTCTCACCCAAAGGGACAGACCACAGACGCACCTTCACAGCGAGGGCCGGGCTGGCTCCAGTTCCCTGATGCTCTGCAAAACACAACGGCATTTCCAACCAGGTAGTAGCCGGGATCACAGGTGTATGTTACAGACGTTCCCATAGTAAAATCTGCTTTGCCCTGGCCATTGTGATTTCCGTTGCGAACCCCCGGAGGCATGGGACATGGTCGGACTGCAACAGGGAGACAAAGTCTTAACTCAGCGAGAGAACAGCGTGCAAGGGGAAGGGAGTCGGCGTGATGCTGCGTTGAGGGGTTAAAGCCCATCGCAGGAACGGCTCAGCCTGCACACGCTGTTCCTGCCTGCAAGGAGCACCCGCCGGGCAGGGCTGCCCTCGGGGAAGCAGCGGACACCCGCACTCACCCCTCTCGCAGATGGGCGCTGGCGGATCCCAGGTCCCCCCCGGCTGGCACTGAATCTCGTAGGTGTCCTCTGCGGCATAACCGGCGTTGCAGGCAAAGTGAAGAGTCTCTCCAGCTTTGTAGGTGCTTTGCAGCCCATAGACCTTCCCATTCTGCACCTCGGGTATTTCGCAGCCAGTTGCTGCAAGGAACATGGACGGCATCCTTTAAACTTCAATGCATGGGTCCGATCCTGCACACACAGCCCCCTCCCTTCTCATCACTGCCATAAACCTGTCTGCACCGTTCCTACAACCAGGACATCCAGCATCCTTTCTGCCAGCCCCACACCTAGCAATGAAGCATCCACCCACCTTCACAGCGGGGCAGGGGCTTGCTCCACAGCCCGGCCTCCGTGCAGTTGATGGACACGTTCCCAATCAGCTCATAGCCATCCTTGCAGCCGTAGTACACGGTCACTCCCAGGGGAAACTTGTCCAGGGACTGTCCGCTGTGCAGCCCGTTGGCGATGTTTGGTGGCCGCGGACACATCACCTCTGGAGAGGGAAAAGAAATTGCTGTGTGGGTCAGCTGTTTGCCATTTATGTGCTGCTAGGACTGTTTGGGTAATATCAGGGTAATATCCTGAATTCTGCTCAGTCTTTGTTCCATTTGCTGGACCAAAGTATTAGTTAACAAAACGTACAGCAGCACCAAGATTACAATCGCATTGCAGCTGGAGAAAATTACTAATAATAAGGACAGTCCTGACAGGAGAACTCATAGGCACATCATGGGATTTGGCAGAAGATGCACATGGACACGGAAGCAGCATGAGCAACAAGAAGTTGTGATTACTTCCCGTTCTAGGAGGAAGATGAAAACATCCCACATCTGACCAGAAGCAGAGTCACAGAAATCCCCCTGGGGCAGCAGATACTGCCACCCCCACAGCTCGCATACGGCTCCTGAGTGTGCTGGGGAGGTTACAGCCTCCTGCTGCACGGCAACTCAGCCCCAGGGTTAACTTCTCCCCATCCCTCTCGGAACCCAAGACAGGGCAGGCTGCAGCCAGCCCCATGTCCCACCCCAGCTCCTTTCTTCTGAGCTGTTTCTGTCTCTCTGAGAGCCAAGCTGGCAGCACTTTGGTTTGAGAAGACAAGCGAGGAGGACAGATGCATCCCGGCTTTGCTTTCCCACTGAATTTGAGAGGACACAAGAGGAAGCTTTCCCCCGCTGCTGTCACCGCTCGCACCGCGCGCTGGGACACTTGCCCTTTTTGCACACTGGCAGAGGTGGGCTCCATCTGAAGTCAGCTTGGCACTTGCTTGTGCGGGAGCCCTGCAAGGTATACCCTGTGTTGCATGCAAAGCTTACGGTGTCCCCGGTCCTGTAGAAATAGCGAGCAGCAGGTACTCTCTTCCCATGCTGGATGTGTGGGAACGGACATTTGGTAGCTGGAAAAGGGAGAGAAATAAAACATTGTTTACCTACGCAGCTCTCAAGCTGTTCCTGCCTGCGATGGTTGCCGCGTTGATGGTGTCCCATTGATGCAGCCCATTGATCCCTGAGTGATGGGACGCAGCGGAGGCTGCAGCCGGGGCGAGTGCTCCCGGGGCTGCGGGGGCTCCTCCCTGCGCTGCTGGGGGACCCTGCTGCTTCCTCAGCTGGCAAGAACGGGGTGTCCAGGATTTCATATCAAACACCTGGTGAGGTCAAAGCCTTTCATGGCCTTTCTGCATGCTTCTAACCCACGGGCTGGGGAGCACACCCCCTCGATCCGACCCAACCTGGGGAAATGCTGGCAGGACTGTCCAGGACCGACCGAACTGCACTCCAGGGGTCTGTGCTACCTGGGGCAGGCAGCCGTGCGAGAGAGCCGGGCAGAGGGTGCACAGCGTGGGCTGGGGGTGCCGTGCCATGCTGCCCATGGCACCACCATGACGGTGTGGGGATGGACCCACGCCAGCGAGGGCAAAGCCTCTGCTGCACCTGACAAGGGACCTGCCCATGAACCTGCTGGTGTGCTTCCAGGGGTACCTGGGGGTTGTTTGCATTGAGAGAGAAAGAGAGAGACGGAGAGGCAGACATGCAGAGAGGCAGGCAGGCAGACAGGCATTCAGAACCACAACCACAGGGAAGTAGCTTTTTGTTCACTAGGCAAATATTTGCACTAGATATGGGAATGTAGAAAGAACGTAAAAGAAACACCTTTTGCTGGTAATATCCTTTGGGTTATTGCGTAAAGGGCCACAGTTCTGTCCCGCTGAGCTGCTCAGGTGCAGCCCATCTCCGCTGCGCCCTTTGCACCCCTTCACACAACTCTGAGGTTGGCTTTGTGGGAGAACCACAGCTCTCTGGCATCAAACAGCACACGTGAGCAATGACAGTTACTTCCACAAGGCTGGCAAACCAAATACACATACATCAGCTGAACATATAGAAAACCAAGTATAACAGAAGAAAATACGACTTGACCTTTTTACAAAGTGTTAACTTAGTGATAATTCTTTTTTTTTTTTAAAAAACATAACCCAACCCTTTGCAGCCACTGATGCTTGACTCCCAGCCTGCCACTGAGCCACCGCAGCCAGCTAAGGCAGGAGGGTCAGCCTTCGGTCTCTCAAGACGCCAGTGAATAATTAGCGTGATTGAGGATAGACGCAGAAGTCTTCTCCATGCAGTACCAAAACACTTCTCAAACCTTGCCAGGGCAGCCAGGTTGCAGCACCTACGCTTACAAGATGGGAAGGGATAAACAAAACTATACTGCAGTGATGGAGCTGAGTTTCTGTAGGTTTTGGCTATCCCATCCCAAACGAGAGGGCACCTCGGGCTACCTGCCAGGCTAGTTGAAACAGCAAGTTTCAACATGACAGAGCTCAAACACAATCTATTATGAGAACAGGCTTCTTGTCTCACTGCCATAAGATGCCACATCCATAACCAGCTTTACTTTGGCAGTTTAAACACATAGGTCAAGCCCCTTGTTACGAGAAGCTGGGCAGATTGTGAAAGACTCTCTATAGCCTCCCGTAGCAAGGTTATAACTCCATTTCCCCCAGCCGCTGAAGGGCACGGGGTGGCCCCAGTGCTATCCCAGAGGATCTTTCTCATTAGTGGAGCAGCTCAGAGGCTCCGTGATGCTCAGGGTCTGGCGTGCAAAGGTCCACCTGGGACCAGCACAGGGCTCCTATCTGCCTCCGCAGGGAAAAGCAAAAGGATCAGCGAGGAGAGGAACAGCAATGAAGAAGAGGAGGGCCATGGGAGGAAGGCCTCAGAGGTGCAGACCTGCCGGTCTCCCTTACCTTGAGCCCCAGCCACGGTGGCCAGGAGCAAAGCGGAGCTGCCCAGGAGGCGGAGGGCGAAGGCGAGCACCATGCTCCGGTCCCCAGCGCAGACTGCAGCTCCCAGGGGGCTGTGGGAAGATATAGGCACCCCAGTTCCCCCTGCCACCCCCCACAAGCAGAAGGAGCTGCAGCTGCGGGGCTTCCCGGGGCTGCGGGACAGGAACCCGTGGGCTCCCTGGCACAGGGTGGGCGCAGCCACCACCCCTGGGGAGGCTGCAGGTCCCACACACTGCTTCTGCTGCTATTTTTGGCAGGGGAGGATGGGCCCCTAGTACCCACTGCGTGGCCCACGGGGATCTGTGAAAGAGGGGTGGGTGCAGGCACGGTGCTGTTAGCCAAACTGTGCCCTCGGTGGAGAGCATCCTCAGGTAGGGGAAGTGACCCACGCTCTGCCACAAGTCCCCAGGCGGTGATGGCAGCCCTTCCCACGAACCAGCTGAAGGGGCACGGCTTGCCTGCCCGGCTACGGGAAGGGCAGAGCGGGGCATTCCCTCCTCCCACACACGTGGGACACGTCTGTCCCTCGGGGCCGTGGGTGCTCCGGCCGGGAGGCGCAGCGTGCAGCCCAGCCCCGCACACAGCCCTGCAGCTGCGGACCCGAATCCTCCTGACCTGACCCTGGCTGCTCTGGGACTCATCCAAGCTGGCACCATCCCTCGCTGCTGGCTGAAAGAGTAACAATCCACAGACAGGACTTTTTGATGTAGAAGCAGCCGCAGCAACCTCCAGCTCTCCACCTCACATAGTGGAGGATGCTTTCTGAGCCTAAAACAAGTAGCAAGACATGCGTTACTCAAGGTTTTTATCCCTTTTATTGACAGAGAGCTTCCAATATTTACATATCCAACATTTATACTTCAGAATTGCACTTGACTGGTTACACTCAGATTATAATGTAGAATTATGTACAAGTCAATTACAAACACAGTAGATAAGCCCTCTTCAATGGTAAATTTTGGTGACGACACCCGTAAGCTATGTCACAGCATTCACAGTTCCTTCTATTTTGTTGCAGGGAGATCATTTCAAGCTGATCCCCAAATCAGGTGTTAAATCATTTGGAAAAAAACACTCTGGACTATGCAGTAGGAACAATTGTGTTGGGATTAAAATAACAGAACAGAACACAACACTAAGCTACGAGGCTTTACATTTGTGTTTTGTTCATCTAGTCACTCACATGGCTTATGGCAAGAGATACATAAAAATAACCAACAACCTGCAAGTGCTTGTTCTGCAAGACTGGCTTCCGAGAACAGTATCTCACGGTGCCCCAGTGACAGCTGAGCAGGACAGTGCTCTGATGGGAAGGGAGAACTTTGTGGGTCTGTTTGGAACAAGACTAACATGTTGATGGAAATGGCTATTTGTGGTTTTCCCTGTAATTAGATGCATGTTCCTGTTAACAGGAAAGCACTGGTGAAAATGCAGAAACAAAAAGTATGTAGTAGACACGTTTCGAATACTTCCCATTCCCAACTGCGCATCATGAGAAGCTCACAGATGGGTCATTTACCTCTGCATCAGACAAAACCCTGAACCTCAAAATCTTGCTTTACCAGCTTGGTTTGGAAAAAGGGTTTTGTTCCTCTCTCTCTGTTTTAGTTTTCATTACAATTTTTTATTATTATTTCAAGTATTAAACTGTTCTTATCTCAACCCAGGAGTTTTCTCACTTTTATCCTTCCAATTCTCTCCCCCATCCCACCGGGGTGGGGGGACTGAGCCAGCGGCTGTGTGGTGCTTATTTGCCAACTGGGCTTAAACCATGACAGTCCTTTTTGGCACCCAACATGGGGCTTGAAGGGTTCAAAAAAAAAAAAAAAAGTGATGCCACCGCTCACCCCCTGCCAACTGATGCGCAGTCAGTCCCCAAGCAGCGATTGCTGCCCCCCGGCCAACTCCCCCCAGCTTATATACTGAACATGACATTGTATGGTATGGAACACCCCTTTGGCCAGTTTGGGTTGGCTGTCCTGGCTGTGCCCCCTCCCAGCTTCTTGTGCACCTCCTCGCTGGCAGAGCAGGGGAAGCTGAAAAGTCCTTGACTTAGTATAAATACTGCTTAGCAACAACTAAAACATCGGTGTGTTATCACATCATTCTCATGCTAAATCCAAAACACAGCACTGTACCAGCTACTGGGAAGAAAATTAACTCTATCCCAGCTGAAACCAGGACAGACACCAACACCACAGTGTGGGCTTTCTATCAGCCAAACAAATCAAGGGCACTTTTACCTGTATCTTTGGTTTAGACAGGGTGAGTGAGGTCCCGTCATCTGAGCTGTCCTCGTGGCACCGCTAAAGCCTGAATCAAGTTGAGGATTCACCCTCGCAAACCGTCCTCAACACAACACTCAACTAGATAAGGTTAGACAGGATGACAACAAAGTGCACAAAAGACGTGAGGTTTGTGTCCTGTTCCCCACAAAGGAGTAAATTAAGGCTTTGGCTTGATGTGCATCTGCGCCTACTTTGGGTGCATCAGAGCAACAGTCGCCCTGTGCAGCCACCCGCCAGCCCTGCCGCGAGCGGAGCAAGAGGCCAAAAACCTGCTTTTCCTCCCCAGCATCACAGCAGGCCCGAGGCGTCCTGGGGCTGAGCTGGGCTCGGGGTGCACAGCACCACCTGAAAAAGCCTTTTAAGTGCAAATTCAGACAGCGATTCCCTGCCGTCAGCGTCGCTGCAGGCAGGTGGCGTTTGAGCAGAAAGTGAAAAGGTTGACACGCGGCAACTTTCTGATGTTTTGTGGCATCTGCCAAGACACCTGCAAGTTCTGCATTTGGCCCGGACACCACCTGCCTGCGGACGAGCTCCGCTGCCCCTGAGCGCCCACCCAGCTGGGTTCCTCCCGGGGCTTTCAGCCCACTGAAAGCTTCACCACTTCGAGAGAAGCGTTGGGTCACTGCAGAGACAGGAAGGGCGTTTCCGCAAAGTACTTGCGGAAAAGCCTCGGTGAGATACAAAGATAGTGCCAGGGCAGAGACCTTTAGCTGAAGTTTAAAACTAATTTTAGTACATAGAGGAAGAGTCAGAATAGTAGCTCTTTGCATTAAGGTGTTTAATTTTTTTTCTCTCCGGTAAAATCACTGATCTGTAAGGATTGCCATTTGCACGAGTCAGACTTGCCTTGAACTCACAGCTACAACTGCGTTTTTATAGGAACACTTTCATTGCTTTCAGTAGCCACAGATAATACTCGACTTATGCATCCTATTTGTATCAAACTTAATTTTCTCAAGTACATATCATTCACATGAAGACATCCACCATTAATGCTCTCAGCAGCAGCAGCAGCACTTTTCACCTCAGGACACTTAAGAAACCCGTGAACCCTGATCAGGACCAGGCACGACACGACCTTAGTGGTGCTGAAAAATGGAACATGTGGAGGTACCCAAAATGCACCATTTTCTTGAGTCTACCCTATTGCAGTGCGAAGGTCTTTGGCATCATTGCAACTTAACGTGGGGATAACCACACTTGATTTCTGATCAGCGTTCTCAGCTGGGTGGCAGAGAGCTGCCCAGCCCAGCCCAGCCCCGTGCACAAGCTGCTGCAGCCAAAGTGCGAGTGCTTCATGGGCAGTGGCAGGGAGCGTCTGAGCTTTGTCATCCAATGTCAGCTGGTTGCGGATTCAAGGCCAATTTCACAGGCAGGAAAAGCAGAGCACTGGGATCAGCGTGATCAAGTCCAACACGTCTACAGGCGCCTCCCCACTGTGCCCGTTCCCTAATCTAGACGTTCATAACCAGCATTGCCAGGAGGAGAGGGAAGATTCCTACAAGAGACAAATAAGAAGCTTCAGTCTTCACTCCAAACGTATTCAACTATCTTTTCCCTCCCTGGTCCCCTTCACCTTTCCCCACCTTTTCACAGCGTGATCTTAAAAGAACAGCAATATAAACCTGACAACAGACTGTAGTGGAAGACTTTTAAGCTTATTTCAAGCAGAACAGACAGGAGACAATAACATAAAGATAGGCAAGAGCGCGGTACAGGGGTTCAGGAATATATATTACTTACCAACAATGATCATGTTCGCTCCATCTGGAAAGGAAGCAAGCCAAAATATGAAATTCAGCACAGTAATTCATCAAACTACACATCACGCAGTATCTCAAATCAGAGACAATGCACATGGAAGACAATTCAAGCAACACACAGAATGGGACCCCTGCACAGCCCAACTCCACAGATGTTTATCTGTTAGAACACAAATGTATTTACCAGGATACATTTCCACTAGCCTGTGAGTCCATGCCACAACCTAATCATGCTCTTTTGGCACTACGTTCTTCAAGAAAGAAGTCTTAAAGGCGCAGGAGCAGGCTGCCCCCATGTGCCGTAAGAAGAACGGGCGGGGAAGACGACCGGCCTGGCTGAACGGGGAGCTCTTGCTGGGACTCAGGAAAAAAAGGAAAGTTTACCATTTGTGGAAGAACACAGAATACTGTGTTCAGTTTTGGGCCCCTCACTACAAGGAGAACGTTGACGTGCTGGAGCGTGTCCAGAGAAGGGCAACGAAGGTGGTGAAGGGTCTGGAGAACAAGTCTGATGAGGAGCGGCTGAGGGAGCTGGGGTTGTTTAGCCTGGAGAAAAGGAGGCTCAGGGGAGACCTTATCGCGCCCTACAACCACCTGAAAGGAGGTTGTAGCGAGGTGGGGGTCGGTCTCTTCTCCCAAGGAACAAGCGATAGGACGATAGGAAACGGCCTCAAGTTGCGCCAGGGGAGGTTTAGATTGGATGTGAGGAAAAATTTCTTTACTGAGAGAGTGGTTAAACATTGGAACAGGCTGCCCAGGGAAGCGGTTGAGTCACCATCCCTGGAGGTATTTAAAAGACGTGCAGATGAGGCGCTTAGGGA